AACCTAAGCTGCCTAAGCTGCCGGGCGGCGCGAGGTGGTGCAAGGAAACGGGGCAGAACCCGAAACCTTGCCGGCGGGTGATGCGAACTGCAACCAGGACCAGGATCTGGGGGCAGTGCCGATGCACGACTTGAACCAAGGAGCTACACGCAGCCAAAATGGCGCGGCAAGGTCACAGACAGCAAAGCTGACAAGTGACCGCTGAGGGCGAGGACTAGACGTAGGATAAACCACACGAGACATCCACGTACCCAGCCCCTGAAAGGGGCAGCTCGCTCGCAATGCACTCCAAGAGGTAATACTAACACCGATGGCCAGGCATACATCACTGACCAAAAACAAGTACGAGTGGCGCCACCGAAGTCGCACACTCAGTCCTGAGAGAAAAGATCCGGGGCACTCCCCTCTCCAGGAGCTGGTGTGGTTACTTTTTAGTCAGCGGCCGCGGGCGAGCGCGCCGGCGGCGTCAGGTCAAAGCGGGCTACGCAGAGACTAATCAGGCAAAGGATACGCGGGAAAACACAAACAGAGCGACGGGCGAAGCGACAACTAAGCGCGGCCGAGGCCTCAGATGGGGGGCTGCCGGGATTGAGACTGAGGGGAACTGCCATCGTGCACTAACTGCAAGTCAGTCGGAGGCGCCACACGTCGGAAAATCAACGACGGCCAGGGACAACTCCGAGAGAGAAAACGTGATACCGTACCTCAGACGACAGCGTGGGCACCAGGGTGGCCGTGGCCAACGAAACGTCGGTCGACGTAGGGAAGAGAAATGCAAAGGCGAGGCCACGGACGGCGCGAAGCGCGGAAACCAGGGTTGTCCAAAGGACCGTCGACCAAAGAATTGTTGCCAGAAACAAGAGCGTTGGCAGGCTGCCACTCCCAAGGTGGCGGAAGCCGGCTGACCCCTGGCAGCAGCACGCACGAGTGCGGGGAAGCGGCATAGCCGCGACGCAAGCCAAAATGGCGCGGGTCACCACGTACGTGTGCGAGAAGGGGTGTCAGGTTGACCCAGCACGGGCCCGTCGAGGCACAACGCACAGGGCAGACACCAGGGGGGGGCGAGCGTACGAGTACCTCCAATGAGCGGAAGCCGAACAAGGACTATGCGCACGCGCTGGTGTGGTTACGCGAAGCATATAGAATTGCTCGCCGCGGGGCAAGTGAGCACGAGATGGCCCTCTCAAAGACGGCGGGGCTTCTCAGAAGCCCTCGCACTTCCTGATAAGTGTTCTTCGTATTCGGGGAAGACTCAGAGAACTTCTCAGAAGGCTGGGGGACTTCCGAACAACCCTCTGAGAAGGCCCTCTCCTTATCACTTCCTCACCGGGCTCGACGCCGAAGAATATGCAGTCGGACTGGATTGGACAGGACACGCGAGATGACTCAAGACCCTTCCGAGGGCCACGATGCCTTAGGAATGCAGGAGACATGGGTCGCGAGATATAGGACACAGGGGTGGCCTTGGCTTGGCAGGGTCGAGGATTACCCATTTGTTCCAAATGTTCTAGAGGTTCGTCTTCCCTTCTACTTCCCGCATGTTCTGCATCTTCCTAAGAATCGGCGATCCAGGACCTTCTTTTGACCGTTGGCAAGGCTGGGTCTAGTTGGACCTGGTTCGGTGATGTGCACCAGAGAACATACGACGAGGGCACAATTCGGGACAAAATCGGCCCGATCGGGCGTGGAGGATATGTCAGGCGCCGAGGCCGTTTCAGAGGTTCCGCAACGCTCTGAGAGCGTTCCAGAACACTCTGGAACGGATTTATCTCTAACGAAGGCCCGTCCGAAGGCGCCTCCCTCTCCCATTCAACCAACCAGGAACTGCCGCCACCCGAAAAACACCAGCTACGACAGGCTTGGCTTGCAGTGACGTTTTGGAGCGTCTCGGGGATCGTCTGACCCGGGTCAATCCAGACCCGGGTCAGCAGGAAACCAAAAACTGCAATGCAGGAAAAAAAAAAAAACTGCAACGCAGGTCTTCGCAACCCCCGGGTCAGCCAACATGCGCGGCCGCCTCGCGGCCACGAGCGGCACGCTGAGCCGGGTCAGCCAGAGGGGGTCTTCGCAGGATCCTGCAGGATCCGGTGCCCTGGCTCACCCCCGTTTGCATTGACCCCCGTCTCGAGGCTCCCGAGCGTCGGGGCCCAATCACGAACCGGCTTCCCTCACCTGGGGTCCTGTCTGCACCACATCCAGCTGCGCGCCACGAACCACCCCCCTCCCTCGCCCCCTTCCCCCCCCCCCCCCTTTCTCCTGCGACTCCTCCAACGGAACCTTTTTGGGGTGGTCTGGGAGATGATCCTGCACCCCACGAGGAGGCGACGGTCCAATTTGGATGCCCGACATGAGTACGGAATGAACGTTTTCCCCCGGGGCAGTAGGCGACCTGAGGAGGAGGAGGAGGCGGAGAAGGAGGAGGAGGAGGAGAGGCTGGACGAGAAGGAGGGAGGAGAAGGAGGAGGAGGAGGAGGAGGAAGAGGAGGACGGGTCGCCTAAGCCCTTCGGAGAAACCCTCCAGTGCGGAAAAAACGGGCACGATGCCGAACCGCAGATGTTGTCCAAAGCCCAGAGCGGCAGGCGCCAACGGCGGCGATCCCTGCTCAAAACGAGCAAGATTGCTGTTGGCCTGCGTACGTACCCACTCTCTCCGTCAGGAGGGCACCAACCATGCGCCACTCGCCATCGCTCGGACGTCCATTCCCTGTGTTTTTTTCGGTTTCGTGCGTGGCTTTTTCGCCAAATGATCAAGGATGCTCCTCGATGGTTCTCGCCGAGAAAAAATGCACACGTCCGAGCGATGACAGGGGGCCCAGGATCACCCTGGGCCCAGGATCGGTGCCTGCGCCCTGCTGCCTGGGGCAGGAAGGCACATGCACCGATCCTGGGCCTGGGATTGGCCTGGCCAGGATGGGTGTACAGTCGGGGCGTTGACCCAAGGAACCCAAAATAGAACGAGGCCCATTTCGGTTTCCGATCGAAACCATAAGGAAAACCCAAGGCAAACTGTGAAACAATCAAGGGACACCGAGTCCCTCCCCAACGAGCAGGGTTCCTTCTTCAGGGCCCCGACTGTACATTTGGACGCCCGACATGGGTACGGAACATGGGCACAGTGCCCAACAACAAATGTTGTCCAAAACCGACAGCGGCCGCTGCTGGGCGGGCGGCCTGATGTCTCCAAAGAACCACGTCCGCGGCCTCGCGGACAGCGAACCCAGTTCAAAATGAACAAGAATTGCTGTTGGACATCGTACCCATTCTTTGCGTACCCATTTCGATCGTCCCGAGTTCAAGTCGGACGCGGCCAAGAGGGCGGTGTCCAAGAGGGGGGGGTGCAAATCATGACCGGCGGCATGTGCGCGGCCCAGCGGGGGGGCCAGGGACGTAATGAAACAAGACAAAGGCGCCATCAAATCTGGAGAAATTTCATGGCCCCCGCCATGATATCCACCCCCCCTCGTCATCACCCCCCTCTTTGCCGCCCCCGAGATCCGACAGAATCCTGCAAGATCCTGCGCGCTAGCCCGGGCCAGTGCACCCCTGGCTCTTGGACGCCTGCAGTGGGCACGGAAAAAATGGGCACCATGCCCAACAACACATGTTGCCCCAAACCGACAGCGGCCGCTGCTGGGCAGGCGGCCTGCTATCATCACCACCGTCTCTGCCGCCCCCGAACATTGAGCAGGGACCGACCGTCCCGGCATTCCTCCTACCAAGAAATGTTCGTAGAACCCCAAACTGTTCTAAGAACAAAAACCATGTTCTTAGAACATGCACCCGATGTGATAAAACAAAACAGTATCCGCCAGACAAATTCTAAGAACATTTCGTGGAAACCACAACAGGTTCTTAGAACATTGTTCGGTAGGGCTACAGGCACGCCGGGACGCCTCGCCACCGCTTGAAACAAGCGGTGCCCTCCGATCCGCACCCGTTCCGCTCCTCCGGCGCCGGGGCTCGGCCGGCGGGCTCCCGGGACGAGCCTCGAGGAGAGGGGCCAAAGAGGGCCTCCGCGGGTGCCCCTCCTCGCCGTCGAGGCGCGCGCTTGCGCGGGCGTCGGGACGGCGCGGGGTCGCGCAGAGGCTCCGTGAAGTCACCAAAGCATTAAGTCGGGCCTGTCCCCCTACAGGGGGATTTTCGACGAAAACTTAAAAAATACCCCAAAAATGCCCCAACATGGTCAAAACAGATTCCAAACATAGTCCCCAGACCATTTTTGGATTATTGTTTGATTATCCTTAGGGTATGTTTTATTTTTCGTCGAAGCTCCCCCTGTAGGGGGACAGGCCCGACTTCACCAAAGCATCAGTAAGCTCGGGGATCGCTGCCTCTTTGGAGTCCCGAAACGGTGCGGTGACGGACCGTGCGGTGACCTCGAAATCCCCCGAGAGACCTCGCCGCACGGTCCGTCACCGCACGGTCTTGGGACCTCGGAGGCCCCAGTCGCCCGAGACTTCCTCGGAGAGGAACTCGAGTCCCAAAACTGTGCGGTGACCCCGAATCCCCACCGACTCACCGCACGGTGTGGTCACCACCCCGTTTGGGGGCCCCCGAGCCTCCGGGTGGAGGAAACATCTGATCTTGCTGGTGCGATCGAGCCCCGGGAGAGGAGAAAGGCAAGGGTGTGACGAACAGACGCAGACCACGACACATGCACGTTCTGCAAGGTGCGTGGCGCAACTCAGACACGGCATGCTCTCGTACCCATCACGCACGGATCTCTACAGCAATCCAGGCACCCCTCGTACAGCACCAATGGCGTCTTTCGACCAAACCACCTAGCCGTGCGCGAGAAACGTCGACTGTCGTCGACTGCCTGACCCAACCGCACGACCCTGGATTCTCTGTTCCCACGCCTGCCAATCCTGCTACCGCACCGAACATGCTGCAACCACTGATCGCCCCGTGGTCCTGACACGCTGCCTGTCCGCGGACGGCTTGCATTTTCAGCGAGCGCGGGCAACATCGCGAGTCACCATGAATGCTCCCCGCAGGCTCTACATCACCAGGGTTGCTTGGTTGATTCCGAAGTAGCCCCAAGGCTTCGGCCCTCGCATGTCAACCTTGATGTTCATCACATTTCTTGGTCGATCAAACAGCATGTCCTCCTCGAAAGACACCCTGTTGTCTGGGTGGTGCCATCCGACCGCGTCCTCCCAATGCATGCCATCCGCCGTAGTTCGAACTCGGACCTCGTCTGGCGCGTAGGCCCAAGAGAACTTGACTCCAGAGGCCTTCCTCCGCTTGTGCAGCGCGCCTTGCCACGTCACAATCTGGTCCCGCTGGTGGTTGCCTGCGACAGGCGCCAACCAACACGACGTTCCACATTCTCAGTTGGTCACAACTTCAACTCGGAACCGATGCGAACAAAACCCATGGTACGGAGGGCACCCGGACCAACCAAACGCGACAACAGACGAACATCATTCTGCTTCAAGAGATCCCCACCCAAAAACGTGAGGCGGGAGACCCATGGAACGCTGGCAGACTCTGGCGGCCGCGGTGCGCAGTCGTCATTCGTCGCGGGCACGAGGCGGGCTACCCAGGGAGCAGTGGCACACTCTGGGGCCGCGGCACGCATGGTGTGCGAGGCGGATCCTGGAGCTCGTATCTTTGTATTCAAACATGGCTTGCCGTCGCTCGGACGTCCATGTCCCGTGCATGTTTCGGTTTCGTGCGTGTTTTTTATGCTCGATGGTCCAAGATGGTCCTCGATGGTTCTCGCCGAGAAAAAATGCACACGTCCGAGCGATACCAAGATAGAGGGCAGAACATCCACACCCATAATGATCACCCTGGCACGCGAAACCGTGTAGCAAACGCACCCACAAAATGACTCGAAGAACAAGGCAGGGCAATCTGGTAAACGCCCAAAGCCCTTTATAAAACGCCAACCCTCGGGTCCGGGCGCTTGTTCCCTCCCGTGGCAACAACATGTGTGCAACCCTCGTTTCTACGAACATTTCGGCCTCGAACGGCACGGACACCTCAGGATGAGTCCACCAAACCCTCCTGGGTATCATCCGGCCCGCTTCCCGAGCCACGTCCAGCCGCCATCCAGATGACGGCCCCCCGTCGCGCTCTTTGTCCGTAGAAATCATTCCCCCCCGTCGCGCCCCCAGGCGTGTCGCCAAGGCGGGCTGGGCGTTTGATCTGCGACTTCTTCACCATGTCGTATGCTCCTGAAACGTTCAGCGGTTCTGACAGCTTCGCATATGGAGGGCGGCTCGTGTTTAGAATGTGTGGTTCTCGCCTGAGAGCCGCGCACATTCGACTTCAACAATTACAGCATCTTCATGGATGGAGGGCGGCCGGTTCTCAAAATGCGGTTCCCGCCGTGGCGGCGGGCTTTCGTCTTAAACTATTGCAGCAGCGTCAGAGACAAAAGGCGGTCGGTTTACAAAACGAGGTCTTCGCCGTAGCGCCCCGAACATTCGTCATAAACGTTTGCAGGGATTTCAAAGATGGAGGGCGCTTCCCTTTCAAAATGTGTTTGTCTCCTAACGGACACGCACAATTTCGTTTTGAACGTTTGCAGCAGCTTCATGGCCATTTGTAGCCGTCATCCCAGGAGCAGTTTACGATTCAGGATTGTCCACGTCATGTGTTCGCTGCTGCAAAGCCCGAGGAAACGTGTTCAGGTGCGGTTAAACATTGTCATGACGCAACTGAACACGTGGATCTGCGGCGTCGAAGTCCCACACATGGTTGCGGCACGATTGGGGATCCTCAAACGGTTGTCTTCTAGTAGGCCACGTTTCGCAACGGGCGCATTGTCCTGTACGGCCCAAGGCAGGGGAAACTTGGATGGGTTACTACAACATCGTTGATGCGTCGTGGGTTCACACTGGACCCCATATTCCTCCTCCTCCTCCTGCTCTTCCTCCTCCTCCTCCTCCTCCTCCTCCTCCTCCTCCTCCCCCATCCCTTTATCCAAATGGCCGAATCGGCCAAGGATCCGCTCCGCCCGAAAGCAGCACGACTATAAGCACAACCGCCCGTTCCCACTGCAATCCTCATGAAAAGTTGCTCACAAACCCTCTCGCGTGTAGGGTTGCCCACAATGGAAGAGTTACCTGGGAGAAAGAACCCCCCAAACATGATCCAATCCGCCCAACAATCCAGGGAAAAGAACCTTCGCCGCGACAACGACGCCGACGACGACGACGAGAGCGGGGAAGAAGGAGGAGGAGGAGGAGGAAGAACGCCACGTGAGCTCACAGAAGGCTTGGCCAATGCAAACAAACGGAGGAGGGGGGCGAGCTTGTGCCCCACCGAGAGAAGCAGGGGCAACCCAAAGCTAAACATCTACTGCGCTTCAATTTGTGCAGGCTGCTAGACCCCGCAGATCCATTGCGCTTCCGTTGCGGCTCCGTCGCTTCAGATGCCATGCTGCACTGCTGAACACCGCACTGCAAATGAGCGTTCTATGGTCATGCCAGAGATCGTGACCGCCTCCTCTCCTTTCCGCCTCTCGCTCTCCTGGCGGTCGCGCGCCCCACGGGTCGCTGTGATTCTTTGAATCCGCCCGATCGGTCGCCACAATGCGGCGGCGCGGCATGCGGGGCGGCAAGGGAGGGGGAGGAAGAGGAGGGGGAAAAAGAGGAGGAGGAGGAGGAGGAGGAGGGACCACACTCTGGCTCAAGTCCCAAACGGCTTCCGCACGTCAGGCTTCTCCTCTCACGACTTCTTGCAAGGGGCCTGTGAACAGGGATCCTGGAGGGAAAGCGTGCGTGAACATCGTTGACGCGTCTTGGGTTCGCACTGGTCCTCCTGCTCTTCCCCCTTCTCCTCATCTGCTTCCACCTGCTCCTCTTCTCCCGTCGTCCTCCAAACCCTCCCTCCTCCTGCTCCTCATTCTACTCGTCCGCCTCCTCCTCCCTCCTGCTCCTCCTCCTCCTCCTCCTCCTGAACCTCGTCCTCCTCCTACTGCTGCTCCTCCTCCTCCTCATTATCAGCATCATCAGCATCATCAGCATCAGCACCAGCATCACCATCAGCATCATCATCACCCTCATCCTCATCACCACCACCACCACCATCATCATCATCATCAGCATCATCATCATCCTCGCCCTCCTCCCTCCTCCTCCCTCCTCCTTTTCCTCTCCTCTTCATCATCATCCTCGCCCTCCTCCTCATCATCATCCTCGCCCTCCTCCCTCCTCCTCCCTCCTCCTTTTCCTCCCCTCTTCCGTCCTCCCCTCCCCCGCCTGCGCGTTGGTCCACCCCGTGGCCTGTGGAACACCAGTAGCCCGAGCCAGGCGCCAGGGCCTGCCTGGCGGAGAAGGGGCTCTTCGCGGGGTTCCGCAGCTGCGCGGCGCTGGTGGCGTACGTCGAGTTGGCCTGCGCCTCGTCGGCGGGCAGGGGAGGTCCTCCTCCTCCTCCTCCTCCTCCTCCTCCTCCCTCCTCCTCCTCCTCCCCCCTTCTCCTCCTCCTCCTCCTCCTCCTCCTCCTCGTCCTCCTCCTCCTCCTCCTCCTCCTCCTCCTGGGCGAACAGCAGTACGACGCCTTGAACTGTGATCGGGGCATTCGCTAGCATGGATTAGAGATCTGTGGATCTGGCGTGTTGGCGCCAGGTCTATGCTCGCCATCGCTCGGACGTCAATTCCCTGTGTTTTTGTTCGGTTTCGTGCGTGGCTTTTTCGCCAAATGATCGAGGATGCTCCCCGATGGTCCTCGCCGGAGAAAAAAATGCACACGTCCGAGCGATGCCGAGTATGGATCGGGGAGCGAATCCCCCGAAGCATGGCGCCTGTGCCGTCTGACAGGGCAACGGAAGGTGCCGATCTGGCCTGGACCCGGGGCCCGTCGCTAATCCACGCACCGGAATCCACGACTGCGCTTCCTCGATCTGAATGGTGCTGACTGCCTCCTCCGAAACAAACCCAAACATCTGCTTTGGGCGTCAGGGCCCGGATCTTGAAGGGGCCCAAGCCGTGAGTGAGACGAACCGTTCTAATCCCGATCCCGCCCGATCCGTTTTGTTCATCACTCCTCTCTTCCTTCCTCTTCTCCCTCCTCCCTCCGCCTCTTCCCCCTTCCTCCCCCCCCAATCCCCCAGGAGGAAGGAGGAGGTGTCCCCCCTTCCTCCCTCCCCCCTCCCCAGGCAAGGAGGAAGAGGAGTCCCCCGTTACTCCCTCCCCCCTCCCTCAGAAGGAGGCAGGAGAAGTACCCCCTTCCTCCCTCCCCCCTCCCCAAAGAGGAGGGAGGAGGAGTCCCCCTTCCTCCTTCCTTTTCGCCCCCCCCCCCCCGGAGGAGGAGGAGGAGGAATAGGAGGAGGAGAAGGAGGAGGAGGAGGAAGAGGAGAAGGACGAGGAGGAGGAAGAGGAGGACGAGGAGGGATGAGGAGGAGGAGGAGGAGGAGAAGAAAGGAGGAGGAGGAGGAGGAGGAAGAGGAGGAGGAGACCTCATCGACCACACACACACACACACCGAAGCCGCACGCCGCAGCATCAACCTCGAACTCCACCCCCCCCTCTCCCGACCCTCCCGCGTCTCTTCCCCCATCCGCCCGTCTCCCTTCTCGAACACCTCCCATCCAGCTTCCTCGGCAGTGCAAGAGGGGGCGCGCATCAGGAAACCGCCCTTCTCCTCGTCGGGGTACATTCCTTTGGTTTCCTCGCTCAGCCTCGTGCCCCTCCTTACCAGCCTCGAACTTATCCCTATCCCTAAGATTGGCACGCCAAAGGGCGATGACAATCTTAGGGATGCGCCCTCAAAAAATAAAGGAACCCCTAAGATTGGCATAGGGATAGGGAGATGTTCCGGACTGGTAACCTCCCCCCTCCTGGTCCTCTCGCGCGTCTCCTCCCCCTCCCTCTCCGCCCCCTCTCCTCTCCTGCCATTGGCTCGCACGCCCCCCCCCCCGTGCAGTCGTCGCTTTGCGTGCGCGTGTGCTTCTGCGTCGCGCGCTCTGCGCCCTGGCCATTGCGCGCCTGGCTGCCGCTGCTGGCCCCCCCCCAGGCGGCTCCTCGTCGCACTCTTCGGCGCCCGAGCGCCCTTTTTCTGCCTCTCGGCCGTCTCCCGTTCCCTCCCCGCTCGACGGCCAGTTCGCCAGTTTCAGTGCCCCCGTCTAGCGTCTCGCCGGAGCGGAGTTCGCCACCTTTGCCGCCGACGGGAAAAACAAGCTGCTGCTTCGCGAGGTTCCAGGATGCTCCTCTAGGGTGCTCGCCGAGGAAGACTGCTCACGCGCGAGCGATGCCGAGCCCTTCTCAAGCACCCCCCTTCCCGCTCCCATACTAAGAACTCCTGTCGCACCCCTATACGCGGCGCGCCCAGGGGGAGTGACAAGGAGAAGGCCTCCTCAGAAGGCTCGGAAGCTCCAAGGACTTCCGAGAAGTTTTCCAAGCCTTCCCCGAGGACAGACAAAAACTTCTCCGGAGGCCGGAGGCCTTCCGAGAAGTCCCGCCGCCTTCTGCGAAGGCCCTCTCCTTCTCGCCTCCCCCCCTTCGCTCGTCGTCGCACCCCCAGGCGTGTCGCTCGGGCGGTCCGGGCGTTGCGCCCGAGACGCCCTCTCGCCACGCACGGTTCCGAAGCTCATATGCTCGGCAGCACCTCCAGGGACTGACGGTCTGCAGGCTGTGGCCCTGGCCTGGGCGCCGCGCACCTTCCTCAGGATCGCGCGCAAGAGTTCAAAGGGTGCACGCGGGTGGCTTCCAAGAGGTGGCTATCGCCGTGGCGCCACGCGCATTCGTTCTACAAGTTCCCCGCAGCTTCAGAGATTGAGGGCGTTTCCTCTTCAAACTACGGCTCTCGCTTTAGCGCTGCGCGCATTCAATGTTAACGTTTGCTACAGTACGGAATCGTGTCGCTGAGTGACGTTGAAGAGCGTTGTTGAAGTTCAAAGCATGTAAAGATTTATGATTCTCAGGACGCGACTATGACGTTGATTCACAGCGTCGGAATCACAAAAACCATGT